GTAATTTTATTAAAAAAGAGGTATGTCTAGCATATCTGTTTACAGGAACTTATAAAAATTAATTTTTCACAATTCTTCCGTTTTTGATTTCATTGATTTTTCCAGCCTCGTGGATTGCTTGATTATTTGGAGTCTACGGCGAAGCCTAATGGTACCGAAATAGACTATTTACAGCCACGAAACAACTTGGAAATAGCAAAATCAGAAACAAAACAAGGTCGAATAATGGTAAATTTTCATGATTTTTGGCACTTTATAATAAAGAGGGATTGTTGTTTTGCAGAACTAATTGCTTCTTTTGGCCGGATTTGGTTTTCCTACTTTTCTCAGAATTTTTTTTCCCGATATCTTTTATCAGTTATCGCGGTTTTTTCTGGTTATCAAAGAGTAACTGATAATAGCTTGTAACGGTTTTTGAATATCCGTTGCGTACTTTCAGGAACAGGTACAGCAAATGCAAATACAGCTGGAAGCAAAAGTTGAACATTTGATGCAACATTGGAATTTACAATATAAATTATCTCTAGTTCATAAAACAGACGTAAGTTTTTTGATATGCCTAACAAAATACGAGATTGTCCTCTTTTCCTTGAAAATCTGAAATATTAAATTGTACGTTAAGCATATTTGTTCTAGCTGCTTATGTGTAAAAAACAAGATTAACAAGATCGTTCAGGCGGGAGGCATGGGATACCTTGTTATGATTTTGTTAATGATTTTGTTGAAATTAATGATTTTGGTGGTTTTGTTAATGGTTTTTTTGGAACACTCACACATTTCTGGGGCTTAGTTATGCCATGTCCTTCATTCCTGAGCTGCATACCTTCGCTTAGTATCTACCGCCTTTTTAATGTATGTGCGTCTTCTTTTCGAAGCGCGCCAGAATGGGGTCATCTGATTTCTTGCGGGTAGCCAAGTTTTTATTTTTCAAATAATTAAAAAGCATATAAAATTATTTACAATGTTTTAAATCAATTACATTATTCAAAATCATCCATAGTGCGCTTAAATTTTAACTGTTTTTTTTTTGCAGCTGTAGCATTATACATTAATTTTACTTAAAAAAAAGTAAAATATTACAACTGTGTATTAACTATTAATTAACTGTTGCCTAATTGCAGCCAATTAATTTTAACTTTAACTATTCACTCACTATGTATTATAACTATGTGTAAATTTTTACTATCAATTTTATGTATTAAATTTATCAGCTAATTTATGTATTAAAATTACTAACTATAGCATATAAGATCAGTACCCAGTTTTATTTAACTTTTTTGAATCTTTAATGCAAAGTTTTCAAGAATACGTGAATATCTTTTTCAGTAAGGATATAAATACTAGAACTGGGATACAGGAATCCTTGAATATAGGCTGTTTTTGCAGGATTTGGGTCCAGTGGTGCTACGTAAGAGGCGACAGCGAATAAAAAGTGGAGTGAATTGGAAAATGTTTTGCTTCCAGTTCGCGAAAGATCATTGTAAAGTTCGTTTGTTCATCTGCTTTTAAGAATTTTGAATAACTTCGTTCATGTATTTTTAAGAAAATTCGATATTTTTTTTTAAAGGCGGATTTGATATGGAATGAAACGACACGTGAAGAGTTTCGTCGCTCGGTTGAGGATGAATTACGAATATTGGAGCAGGAAAAAGAGCTCGCACCCAGCAATATACCTATATCATGGAATCATACTGAGTTTCAGGTATTTTCACAGCCGCTTCTCAGGCTCTCACCGTTTGAGACATAATATTTCTACCTTCCCCGCCTAAGATATCTATCGTAATTGCCAATTTTTCTACTTTGAATAGTACTAGTTTACACTGTCCAAGTATATTTTGGGTTTTTTAGTTAACTGGTTTTGCGCCGTAGTTTCATCTTTGCCGGGTTGTAGCTTGTCCATACGGATAAAATGGGCGGTTATCTTTCTTCTGCTTCCGAACCTTTCCCTCCACTGTTGCCTTCTATAGGCAGAAAGAGAACTAACTTATTTTGCGCAAGAAAAACGTGAACAGTTTAATCGAAAGGTGCAAAATTTAGCAGCGAAGACATACATATATTTTTTTTGCTAAAATATGCAAAGGTTTAATTCGGGAAGGAGTAGAACCCAGCTCCGCTCTTTTTGGATGTTATTTGAATCGTGACATATTATCCATTACACCACCGGTTTTTGCTGCAAATCCAGTATTTGGATATATTAATGCACAAATGTGGCACCCATATAAATACATATTTACAATTTTCCAATGTCTTAATGCTGCTACCTAAAACAAAAAGGCCCTCTTCTCAGTTTTTCTCGATTTTTTATGAGTATTATTGACAAAATTCCATTCTTCAATTACGATATTTTATTGTCTAAAACAAGCATATGGATACGCAGTGGGAAGACACACCAAATCTTTTCTTGTTGATTGAAGGATCAGTCAATTTTGATTGAGTTTTGGGTTTTGAGCTGTTCTGACGTATTGAGTTTGTATTTTTTTTTTTTTTTTGTTCCGGGTCAAATATTCCTCCCTGAATTTTTCTTCTTGTAGTGTCATTTATGCAGTTACATGATTGTTTTCGGAAAAATTATTTGCTAAAAAAGTGTATTTCTTAGGTTCGATATCCATCTCTAGCGGAAGAAGTAAAAATTGGTGACTATTATTTGCGAATTTTGCTGCAGGAGAATGATGCCACCGCTACACCGATACACAACCCGTGAGTGGTCTTCTTAACATTTCTATCTCGATTTTTTAGTAATTATGCGTTTTGTGCTGTGTAACAGCAGTACAAAACGCATATTGTTACGGGGTTGTGTGTGTGTGTCTGTCCGCAGCAGCTTGTCCGCAACTTTCAACTCGGGAACCACAAAAGCTAGGAAGCTGAAAATTTA